TAAATTCAGTTAAAGCCTAGTCATTTTAGATGTTTCTGAGTTCACCTAGTTCAAGTTTTGTTCATATTCATATTAGTGAATATCTTAGAGTAAAATTCCCAACGAAATCCAAGTGGTCTCCAGTTTGGGTTAGTAATAATAAAGACATAAATAAAGAAAAAGGTTACAATTTGTAGGTATTTGGTAGTGAGACGGTCAATAGTGGACCTCTGGGAAGATGGTGGGAACTTCAATGCCTAAGGATTGTCTGAGGCATAAGAGAAAACCAAAGCAGCCTTAGAGAGAGAAAGGGTGGCAATGAGAGACTTTTGTCACCAAAGCAGAAGATGATAACCAGCGTTGTGTGTTTCTCTACATGCATGGATACTCTCTTATATAAGCTCCAAAACCGTTGGAAGCCAACTCACTTATGGCCAGGTCGTCAGCTCTTCTTGACAGAGATAGCGAACTTAGGCCTATGATTGCATCCACCCCATGATTCAACCTCGAAGGCTGTATCATGAGAGCTAAAGAGTTTAGTACGACACTTCGGAGAGATCATGGCATGGAGTAGGTGGTAGATATGATATCTCTTTCGAGGTGTTAGTTGTTAGGTCAACGTCCCTCTCTCTTTAAAATTGGTCAAGAAGGAGCTACTCAACAAGGCCTTAATTCTAACCTGCAATCCACAATCCTCCAAAAATCCTTAGTAGTGGATTCCTAGACCCTGCTCCCAGCTTATGATGTCGAATGAAGCCATTATAGTAGTAATAATAACCCCAGGTAAGCAGGTGACTACATAGGGGCAACAGGAACACTAAAGGCCAAGCTATGCTACTACTGCCAAGTGGGAGTGACCGAGTAAAGGCACACTGATCGAGCAGTGCCCTTGATCACCCCTAGCATACCCTATAAAAATGAGGCATGTAGTGCTTGTTTGGGCAAACTAGGGATGTCGAGCGATGGCACTTATGACAGAGTCGCTGAGATTGGCTCAACTGGGTAGTATAATGGGCTATGCCTCTGGATCTAATACTTCATATGGCATTGAGTGCGCTAGTGGACGGAGCAACCATACTTAGTGTCTATATGCCTCCACTTAGGATAAACATATGACCCCAATAAATTCACACAAGAACATTGTGGTGCCTCTAGAGGATTGCTCCATGGAGATGATGATGTTGAGGTGGTGATAACGTGGCATCCATAGGACTCGCCACGGCACAAGGTTGGTATACACATAGTAAAACCTTAAGTTACAAACTATGAAGTACAGACATGGACATGCATACGGACACGGACACGGACACGGGACACGACAATTTCTAAAAAATAGGGACAAGGGCACGGCAGGGGACACGGCAAATTTTTTAATTTTTTTATAAATATTTTTATTTTAATACACATTAATTATTTTATTTATTTATTATATTTTTTAAATAATGTGTTCCAATTAATTAATTTTATTTTATTTTACCTAGACATTTTTCCTATTAATTAACATTAACATTAGAAGGATTAAAAAAAAAAAAAAGAATTTTTCCATACTGTATATATATAAACCTATAATTAATTTTTTTTAAAAAACTACAGTTTTAGTTTTAGATATTTAAAAAAAAAAAAAAAAAAACAAATCTTACATATATATAAATTTATATATAAAGAAATAAAAATCAGTCTAACTCTTACATATATATATATAAACGTATAAAAAAAATAAAAATATAAATCAGTGTTTACCTTCGAAGTCGAAAACAGACCACAAAGAGAGAGAGAGAGAGAGAGAGAGAGAGGGCTTCGATCGACTGAAACGAGGGCTTCGATCGACTAAGAGAGGGCTTCGACAGAGACGAGGGCTTCGATCGACTAAGAGAGGGCTTCGACTGAGAGAGAGAGCTTCGATCAACTGAGAGAGAGAGGGCTTCTACTCAGAAGGTCTTCGCAGGTTCACTATATTTCTTCACCCTTAGTTTTTACTTTTTAAATATTACACTTTGACCCCAAATACATATAACAAATTCAAAAAAGAGCCCCGCCATGTCCCATTTGACCTCCAGATGTGGAGAGAGAGCTTCGATCGACTGAGAGAGAGAGGGCTTCTACTCAGAAGGTCTTCGCAGGTTCACTATATTTCTTCACCCTCAGTTTTTACTTTTTAAATATTACACTTTGACCCCAAATACATATAACAAATTCAAAAAAGAGCCCCGCCATGTCCCATAGCGTATCCAGATGTGGACACGCGTGTCCCCGCCATGTCCCCTTCCAAAAAAAACATTAAATTAAAGGGACACGCCATCTGGCATGTCCCGTACGTGTCCGCGTGTCGGACACCGCCACGGCACCAATTTTGGAGTGTCCATACTTTATAGGTTACAAACATAAACTGATGGCTTTTTTGGCAAAAGTATAGTAACAAGAAAAAGATCATATTGAAATTTTCAAATGGGTATGAACATGACTTTTCTTTCCAACTTTTTGGTCACATAAACTTTTGTTTTATAAGTTTATTCTAAATTAGTATGTTGGTGGTCAGGTTTATTGATATTTTAATAATATCCTCAGAGCCAATTATCTAATTTTTGGTACAGGGTCATTAGTCTTCTTTGAGGTCAAATTATATTATTGGGTCTTTATGTGACCTTTAATAGGTTTTGAATAGTTTTAGTAGTCAAAATATCAAAGTTCTCTACTCTAAAGTCTCAACCCTGAGGTTAGAGAAGTGCAACTCCCAATAAGTACCTATATGAGCTTTCCACGTAATGAAGTTGACATTTAGAAAGTTTGAGATTGTGTTCATGGAACGAAGCTTAACCACTATAGGAGCTTAGCCTAAAACTCGAGGTGATCATTGGATCCTCCTCCTCTTTCCGTTACTTACTGTCAAAAGCCCTAGGACAACACATTTCTTCATAAATGCCTAAACTATCAAGCCCTAATCCTTTTCTCTACCTTCTAGCCTTTGGTTAAGGCCCAAACTGCAATAATTACTCTCATAAATGTTTATTTCTTACAAGTAAAGATTTATTAGAATAGGCAAGAAAAAGGGAGTGCCACCCATTTTACTCATTCCATAAACTTTTACTACTTTATTTTCTTATCTTTTTTTAATAAGTAAGAATTTATCGAGAAAACGCATCAAAAGGGGAAGCAACCAACGTACATCAAACAAAACACTAAAACACATCCTCAAACAGAGGTCTAGAATCATATAAACTCCAAACTTTTAGTACTTTCGGTAAAAACCACTGACATTACTTTTTGAACCAAGCCAATTCCAACCCTTTTCTATCTTCTAATGCTAGCCTACAACCGTTCTTCTACCTTTCATTACACCAAAAAGCTTTCCATGACCCTAGGATACCATGATGAGCAACACCATTGAAATGCTTTCCTACATCACTTTTTATGAACTAATATCCAACAATCCAACTTATATTTGTTCTTCTACACATTATAGCTCAAGGGCACCAAAATGTTTTTCACAAAAAAAGAAAAAAGAAAAAATGAGAGAGAGAGAGCCAAGGGCACCACTGCAATTACTGTTTTTTCCTTCTCCTTCCATTCTTCTTTATCTTAACAGTACCCCTCCTTTTCACTTTTTTCTTAGGTTCAACTTCTCTCAATTATCTCCTTATCCAAAAATTATATACCCGTTGGTCTTATTTATCACCCCATTTTTTCACCCCTTTACTTCACCTCCTATGTGTATTCATGCAATAAATCTCATGTGTATATATGGGAACTTATCATGCCACATGAGAAGTTACATAGAAAGTGGAAAGTGTTGGTAAAATGTTTAGGTAATATATTATTAAGTCACAAATTTTCCCAAAAGCCCAAGTTGCTAGGAAATGAGCCCAACAATATACATCAAACTATCTAACACCGTCCCTCACATGCAACTCCATCTTGCATGCGGAGAGACAAACATAGAACCAAACAGAATGAGAAGCAAACAACCAAACAAAGAGGAAGAAAGCAAATGGGGATATAATATCAAATGTTGACGGAAAGACTTGACCCCAAAACCTCTCTCAACCAGAGCTCTGATACAATATTAAGTCATCAATTTTTCCAAAAGCCTGAGTAGTTAGAAAATGAGCCTAACAATGTATATAAAGCTATCTAACAAGCAAAACTCTTTTATGAACTCAATTTCCCCAATGTTCTGGACCAAAGGTATTTCATCTTTTCCCTCACCCCAATATCTTACTCCCTAATGGCATATGTGGTATAATTTTGTTTTCTTTGTTATTGTTTTTCATTTTCATTTCCCATGTTTTTGGAAACAGAAGCATTGAAAAGTTTGAAACCACTCATCATTTTCATATCATTTCTCACAAATTTGAAAACAACTTTTTAGTGTTTCCTAAAAAATTGGCTAGTTTTTAGAAAATCTTTGGAAAAACAATAGTTAGAAACAATTCTCCAAACGAGTTTTATGTGTTTTCCGAAGAAGGAAAACATAAAATAGAAAAAATAAATAAATAAAAAATGATACCAATTTGACCTTAAATTTATTATCCGTGAAGGGACACCACACTCTATCTTCGGTCCTTTGTGATTTTATCCACTGGTTTTATTAATAGTCTAGCCTGGTTATTAATATTACCAAGCTCTTTTACATCATACTAGATAGAGCAGAAGTGCAAATTAATAACTTTATGAGTTGACCAATTCAGTCAAATAACATTTTAAAAATGTTGATGCACCTATTTCCCAGCAGCAAATAGATGGCTTACTAAAAAATCAGTTGCAAACCAATTTTAGGAAGAAAACAACGTAACATCATAAAAGAAAATGCTAGGTCTCACACAATGAACTTGAGGACAGCAGCTTAAAGGAGGCTGTATCCATAAACAAACAGCTAATTTGGTACACACAACTTGGGGTTTTCAATCTACTACTTCTAATTCATAGTAATATTGTAGAGTCAAAGTTTATCAACTTTCAAATAGAATTTTTTGAACTCTCAAGGGTTGAATAAAATTCCAAAAAGTTCATGAGCGATTTAGTACCTGTTCAACGTCTCTTTCAACAGGGCCGCTGGTTCTGTTAACATCCGAAGTCATCCTATCCGTCCGCAACACCAAAAATCTCGCAAACAAAATTCAAATCTAAATGCCAAGCTCCGCAAACCCCATTCTCAAAACCAAGCCGTTCCATTCATCAATTCACTTCCAAACTTCACAAAAAAACCAAAATCACAAACATCAAACCCCAATTGTACACCGAAGATCGATTTAATCATAACGATCTTCACTCCAAGTTTCAGAATTGCAGTAATTGCAGAAAAACAAGTATAGTGAAGTACAGAACGCTTGACATACACTTGTCAATCTTCACAATCAGTCAGTGAAACAGTGAGAAATGTAGTTTTGTGTGTTAGGTTTTTTGTACGGATAGAAGCGATCGAAGATGAGACGAAACTTTACTGATTTCAATGATTGAGGACTCACCGCAGCTCGATTATGGAGCGAGACAATCGGAGATGAGATCAGCGTAAAAGTGAATCAGAATCTAGGAGAATGGTCGATCTGGTAGTAATCAGTTGCAGAGGAGAGAGAAAGAGAGTTTTTTTTAGAGAGAGAAAGAGGAGAAGAAGAGAGAGAAAGAGAGAGAGGGCGTGGACTGAAAGTTATAAATAACAAAAAAAAAACGCCTAGTAGTAGTGCATAGACTAGCACCCAATAACTAAATAAATAAACGGGAGGGTGTGTATTCAGTCCCCAAAGTACTTGGATTGTATTGTTAGGCTGATGGGATCTCTCGTAACTTTCATTTTAAAAAATAATTATTATAGATGGAAAATTACTGGTATACCCTTTAAAAAAAATATTTGAGGGCCTGAAATTGTTTGGTTTGAAGTTGGTTTAAAATTTAAAATGATATCGTTTTGAGTTCTCTTATCGGTAATATGTAATAAAATTTTCTTATCAGTAAAATATATTACAATTCTCTTACCGGTAAGATAATCCAAAACGACGTCATTTTGGATTCGGGGCAAATTCGAACTTGAAAATTTCGGATCCTGTGGCAGTGTTGTATCCTAAATTGGAAAATGTTAATTTATTTAGTTCTATTTTTATTTTTTTTATGAGCCATTTGGTCTTATTCAATTGGTAAGAGATATTTTCCTTTGATTTGATATAGGTGAAGTTTACGTATTTACCTTTTCATGGGATTTAGTATGATTCTTTCTGATAATGTGCGTGTAATAGTGTAAAGAGTAACATTTTACATTTCTATTTGTGTGTGATTTTTGCAGAATGATCTACGATGGATTGGTTGCAATTGCTAACGTTGTTTTCTTGAAACGTGAGAATCAATTTTATTTTTCTAAAAATTTGTTGGGTTACCTTTTATTTTCCGGTGCCAGTGGGTGTCAGTGCCCTTTTGGTGACGAGGTAAGTATGGGTTGCTTTGTTTAACACTCAAATGTAACATTTTAATGTAATACTACAAAAAAAAAAACTCTTTAGTGTATTTTTTTCAAATATAACACTACAATAAAACATTCTAAAAAAACTCATTGATGTACTTTTTTCAAACGTAACACTTTAATATAGCACTCTAAATTTTTTTTTTAATGTAACACTCTAATGTAACATATAAAAAAACTCCTTAGTGTATTTTTTTTAAATGTAACACTTTAAAAAAACTCTTCAGTGTAACACTCCAATGTAACACAAAAATAAACTTTTTAGTGTATTTTTTTCAAACATAATACTCCAATATAATACTCTAAAAAAACTCCTTAATGTACTTTTTTTTCATATGTAACACTTCAAAAAAATTCTTTAATATAATACTCCAATGTAACATATAAAAAAAACTTCATAGCATATATTTTTCTCAAATGTAATACTCCAAAAAAAACTCTTCAATGTAATATACAAAAAAAACTTTTTATGTACTTTTTCTAAACATAACACTCTAATGTCTCCACAAAAAAAAAAAAAAAAAAAAAAAAAAAAAAAAGATGTGGGATTCTTCAAACTATTTCAAATGAAATACAAAAATCCCCTAATAAGCTTTGGACAAATGTATAATTTTAAATTGTAAGTATTACGTTTGGAAAAAGTACATTAAAGAGTTTTTTTAATATTTTGTGTGTATTACATTGGAGTGTATATATTATAATATTTATATTTGAGATTACATTGATTGAAGTATTATATTTGTGAAAAACACATTAAGAATTTTTTTTATATATGTTACATTGGAGTGTTGTTACATTTGAGTTGGGATATTTGAGAAGGGATTTTGAAAGAGAAAGAAAAAAATAGGTGAAATGTGAATAAAATATATTTACATTTCACTTAGTTTCACATATCTTTTCCCTTTCCTTTTCAAATCCTTTCCAAATCTTCCAACCAAACATATCGTAAAGAGTTTTTTGAAGTGTTACATTATTACGTTTAGGAAAAGTACGCTAAGGAATTTTTTAATATATTATATTGGAATGTTATGTTTTTGTTTGTAATGTGGGATTTGTTCAAAAGAAGAGAAAATTCAAAACCTCTATAGTGCAGATTACCCAATGTGTAATTTCACATTTAGAAAAACCTACTTATATTCCTCAAAAATTACCCCAAATGTGTAAGTTGTTAGGTTTTTATTCTTGGCAACCCCGTTTGACAAAACTCCTTTCAGATGTATTTATTTTCGCACTTTTATTTCAGTGAGGCTATGAGTTTATTAGATGCGAATCCAAACCCGAATCGAACCATGCAGAGAAGTTTGTGATGTTAATGCTTTCAAGATTGCCACTTCGCTGATTATTACGGGGGTCGAGCTGACCGGTCAGCTCGCGGCCGAAGCAAAATGCAAAATTGCATTCAAAAATTGCATGTCCGTCGTTGGTCGCTCGAGCCAAGGAATTCTCGCTCGAGCTAGGGCTTGCTCGCTCGAGCCAAGGAATGCGCGCTCGAGCCAAGGATTGCGTCCATACAAAAACCTGAAAGAGTGTATTCCTCGCTCGAGCCAAGGATCCGTCGCTCGAGCCAAGGCACTAGTAGAAATCATGAAAAATACACTGCTCGCTCGAGCCAGAAAAGCTTCGCTCAAGCGAACCTCAGAATCCGGATTTCTCAAGAAGTTTGTTTTCTTCCCAATCTTGGATTACTTTTGGTTCTCTATAAATACTTGGTTTTCTCCCAAAACTAAGTGATTGATTGAAGTCCTCCAGATCTTCTTTTTGGTTCTTAAGGATTATATCTGGGGATATTTTTTTGTTTTCTTTGATGTTTTTATTGAGTTTCCAACTCATGATTTAAAGAGAGTACATCAAAGGTTTGTTTTGATATATATCAAAAGAGATGTTGTTCTTCAGTTGTGTATTCTGAAGAATTCGAGCCTGAAGCTGTGGTGGAATCCAGAGTGGCTCATCAGAAAAAACAATTCCGTGGTGAAGATGGGGTTGGAAGAGGCACATAAAGGTTGGTTCAATTAGGCGTTGTGGATTCGCTAGGTAATGAGAGTATACCTTGAATTCCTTTAATTCTTCTTAGTGGATTGTTTGTGGCTATTGCCCGTGATTTTTTGATCACAGTTGGAGGTGTCCAATTGTGTTTTTTCCACGTTAAATCGTTGTGTCTCTTTGTCTTGATTGTTTGATTGGGATTGTTATATTCTGCTTAAAATTGATACATAATCACAAATCAACATCTAGGGGGATTCTAGATTTTTCATAAGTGACTACCCTTTGTGTAATTTCTACTTTAATGGGATCTTTGGATTCATAAAAAAAAAAAAAAAAAAAAAAAAGACCAAACAATTCATAAAATCACATTTTAGGATTTATTGGTACTTCGCTCTAGAACAATCCTAATTCTGCAAGATAAGAAACAAACAAAATAAGAAATTTAAATAAATAGATAACTAATAATCAAATATTAAATTCTTTCTATATAAAAAAATATTAAATTAAAATCAAATATTAAATTCTTTCTATATAAAAAAATATTAAATTAAAATATAAAATAAACATATATTACTTTAAATTAGGTCATACTCTTCATTTCTCACCTCATATGGTGACTTTGATTTTGAAGCTTTTAAAAATCATTTTTAAAATTTTTTAATATGTATATTCTTTTATTTTTAATATATGTTTTGATTTTGAAGTTTTTAAAAAAATTTAATATGTATATTCTTTTATTTTAATATATGTTTTTAAGAGAGAGTAACTAAAGTGACATGGTGTGGGGTAATGATATGGTGGAGATGGAATTTTTGTTAAAAAAATGTTCAAAAAATTATTGAAAAACATTGTCGAAAGAAATATCGCCGGAGTTCGAATGTGATCGTGGCAGTCGGAGGTGGTCAAAGGCAACTAAAGATGGTGGCTAGAGGGAGGGAGTGAGGGAGTCATGGTAATATGATAATAGAAATGAAGAATGTGAATATTTTGAAGATATTAATAGGGAAAAAAAAAGAACATTACTTATAAGTATATAAATCTGATCAATAGAACCGGTCTGTAAGTATTCTCTAAAAATTAATTATATAAATAACAATTTGGTTTACATTATACAACAATTTAATTGAATCAAAATATTTTTGCAAGATTTTTTTGGTCCATTAAAGTTCCTATACAATTTTAATAACACTTGCACACTATGAATTTTGGGATTGATCTATATTTGGAACAATCTTCTGTGTAAATAAAATAAATTGAAACTAATTCAAACAAAATAAATAAATAACATACCGAATTTATTTATCGAAGCAAATTAAAAATAAAAGACAAGTCGAGTGTGTGACACTCTGTCCTTAAGACAGATTCGCCCCGCTATGGTGCTTACGGTTGAGTGGCGTCTATCTCCCAGGATACAATGATCTTAACCAATTTGTAGTAGCACTCCAAAACAAATTGTTCGGCGAACCAAACCTGTGTTCTAACTCTCTGATTATTTAATCTAAAACTAATATATGAAGAATAAATGCACAAGTAAAATCTGGACAACAAAAAGAATTTTCAAACTGATATTTTCGGATCACCCTGGACTGCTGGAAATGGATTTGTATTTATAGGCAACTTAGAGACTGTAAGGGCAGCCCGAATAGGTACAACAAGAGGTCAACAGATGCCACTTTCAAATGAACATATCTGTAGCAGTTTTATTACCTGTTGGCAGTTATAAAACTGTCTAAAAACTGCTGGGCAGTTAATCAATCTGTCTAGAACAATTTGCACCTGTTGAACTTTGTTTTGAATTTGTTCAAATCTACCAGGCAGATTTAAATCTGTTTGAAAAATAGAATCTGTCCGAAATATAAAGAAAATTGTTTTGGACAATTTAGAATCTATCCGACAGTTTAAAACCAGTTTTAACAGTTTGGAAAAAATAGAACTTGAAGGAACAATTATTGGACAAAATTTGAATTCAAATTCAAATTACAAAAGTGCAAAATTTAAATTAATTTTCCCGCAATAATTTCTGAAAAAAATTCAAATGAATTTTGTCCAAAAAATTAATATTAGAACCGACCCACAACCGCGCCCGATACGGCCGGATGGACGGACGGCGGCGGCGCGCGTGTGTGGTTGTTTTGGCTAAGGTTTACTTTGACCATAACTCCTCCCTTCTACAAACTTGTGGTACCCCTTGGGGCCCAACCCAAGTATTTGTAGGCTAGAGTTTATAT